TTTATTCATATTTTAGGGAAAGGTCTACAGGATGTTCAAGGCCTACTAGATTGGACTTGGTTTTTTTTGGTAGTACCAGGGACTGAACTCAGGACCTTGTGTTTGCCAGGCAAGCACTTATTCCACTGAGTTATCTCTCAGGCCCTAGGTCGGACTCATAGTGATCGGCCTGTTTACAGCCTCCCAAAAGCTAGGATTATAGGTGTGCGTCACCACGCCCAGTCTCAATTGCTATCTCAGCATGCCCCATGGGTGGGACAGGCCTGGGGATCAAACCCCTAGCCCTTATGCCTGTTTGCAGGTGCTTTAATCCGATGAGCTATTTGGCTGGCCCCCCTCAGGACATTTTTATACTCAGAAGTACGGAAGATCCCAAAGATTTTGATTATGCTAGATGGATTCATTTCCTTTATCCACTTAGAGAAGCAGGTCTTGCCATATTGCCCAGGCTGGCCTTGAATACCTGGGCTCAAGCAATTGCCTGCTACTGCCTCCTGAGTAGCTGGGGTGGTGTGAACCAGTGTGCCTGGTTCCTATGTGAGTTTTATTACTGATATTTATTAGCTGTCTTAGAAACTGAAAAACAGCAGGGCTGGCGAGATAGCTCAGCAGACTAAATACCTGCTTAGGCAAGCACAGAGACTGGGGTTTGCTCCCTGGTACCACATGCCACGCCCCTGGGCCCACTGAGCCAGCCACTGAGTCCAGGTGTGGTGGCGAGCGCCTATAATCCCAGTGCTGGAGAGACTGAGATGGGAGGATCACTACAAGTTGCATAGTGAACCCTGTACAAAATACATTAAAAAAAAATAAAAAAAAAATAAAGAAATTAAAAAGCAAAACCTGTACATGTTAACATGAATGATACATCTTTAAAGAAAAACACTGGGCTGGGAGGAGCTCAATGGTAAAGCACGTGACCAGCGTGCAGGACACCCTGGGTTTGATCCCCAGCACCACAAACAAAACAAAACATTCTACTATTTTCTAGAACCAAAAATATTTAGTATAAATAGTACTGCTTTACATTAATTTACCTATTTTTTCCCTACTGGGTTATCAGCCCTTTTAAAGTTCTTGCTTTTGGGC